GGGGAGGGAGATTTTCAGGGGGGGGTGTGGCAGGCCCCCCCCCCCCAACCTGATTAGCTGAGGGGTCATCTGTCAATCTCCAGGGAAGTGTGGGACTTCTGGGGCCCCTCAGCCAATCAGAGGTGTGGAGGGGGCCCATCTGCCACGGAAATAGTGACCAGCACTACGCTCAGACCACAAAATCAGGAGGCAGCTGCCCTGAATTCAGTATGTCCCTACAGATGGGCGATGCTGAAAAATATTAGGTGATTATCAGAGAGGAAGGATTCAGCCACGCAGAGGTGAAAGAGTGAGGGAGAGAGGAGTTCCTGGCATGTCAAGTAAACGGCTCTCTTGATCAGTGAAAAGGCTGAATCAGGATACTAGGTCAAATGCAGACATGAAGGCAAGGAATTAGGAAACTACGGGATCAGATGGATCTTCAACATGAAAGGTGAAGTCATAAAGGATACATGCGGGAGACTGCCAGAAGGAAAAAAGGAGAGAGTAATGGTTAGCAGTTGGGTGGATGATAAATGGCAGTAGTATGGAAGGGGAAATGACAGAAGAGCCAAGTATGGTAGTATACTCAAACAGAGGTAAGAGAATGGAAAAGGGGGAGGAGGAAGAGGTTGAAAACAATGGGAACAAGAGAGAAGCCTAGCTCTTCTACCAGAGTCTGATGTAGGCTGAGGAGTGACAAAAAAACAGAAGCCTGTATAAGAAGGAGCACTTGCAATAGCCTTCTCAAAGAGATTCAGGTGCCTGCGACAGCCAGAAGGTGAAGGGAAAGATGTATGAATGATCAGAAGGAATGAATGGCTGTAATCTTCTTTGGGAGGGTGTGAACAATCCAGAGACCAAAAACAAAAAGAGGAAGAAGGATGGGCAAGATGTTAGGAATAGTGGCACAAAAGAAGCGAAGATGGTCATTAAGCTAGGCACAGCATGTAGAAAGCATGACGGTAAAGAGGAGGCCAGGTTTAAGGCAAACATCATAGGAAAGGAGCATGGGGTGGGGGCAGATATGGAACAAGGGGAAATATCTGAGTGGAGATGAAAGGAGTTATCTGAACTGGAACAGTAGAGGATAGCAAGGAAGAAAAAATGTAGCATATAGGAAAGAGACATGGATAGGTGCCAGTTGGAAAAAATTAAGAAACAAAAAATGCATATGACACACTAGTCACAGAACTGCAGGGGAGCCCACTCCATGCACAATCCACAAAGCCCTGTGCAGATCCAAAGGCAAAGTCCTGTTTGCTGAATAGTTCAAGCATCACAAGTTTCAAGATGACCACAGAGCATTCTGTCACTAAAATAGAAATATTAATAGATTGTCTGTGGCTGCATGAGCATAAACTCCAAGTTTTATACAGCTAGACAATCTGGAAAATGATTTTCCTATACACTTTATGTTACATAGTTAACTGAGATGAACAAAATATTCATGATGGAAGATGAACACAGGACAAAATCTACAGCAGTACTACCACTTTGAGAGGAGATCTCTATGACTCTTACTGAAGACAATGGCAAAACTTAGTTCTGTTGATCCAGAATCAAGCTTTTACTGCAATTTCTCCATGATATACTTAACAGAAGTAGCAATGTGAAGAATTTATGACTCATGGTAGTGATCCATACATCCATAACT